GTACTAAAGCCTCCCCCTTTAGTCCCGGTTCTAACTGGAACCGGGACTAAAGACCCTCCACGTGGCCGCTGTCTGGAGGTCCACCTTTAGTCCCGGTTGGTAACACCAACCTGTACTAAAGGAAATTTTATGATTTTTTTTGAATTTCTTTTTGAATTTCAAATTTCTGAATTATTTTAACCTCTAATCTCTAATCGCCCCTCATCACTGCTCAATTTAACTTTTAATCTCTAATCACCCCTCATCATTCCAAATCATCTAACTTCCCGAACGGTCACCCATCCTCTCACTACTCCAGCCTGAGCACGCTTAACTTTCGAGTTTTATTCTCCCTCGTTTCCAAGTCTGCACTTGTTGTTTTCCTGACAATAGTAAGATGTCAATCCTATTAACCCTCAGGAATTTAGCTTGAGCATGAAGTCACACATTTCACTGTTTGAATTTGAAACTATTGTTCTAAAAATCAATAATTATTTAGTAACACTAATATTTCTTGAATAAGTAGTTTGACCACAGTTTGACCATAATTGACCAAAATTCAAAAAAATGAAATAATTATTTAGTAACACTAATAGTCTTGAATAATTATTTAGTAACACTAATACTTCTTGAATAAGTAGTTTGACCATAGTTTGACCAGATTTAACAAAAATTCAAAAAAAACTGAAATTTGAGCATAACTTTTTTCCTTTTAGAATTTAAGGATTCTAAAAATTTGCAAACAGGCCGTAGGCAGTCTCCATCGGATGCGGATTTTCGTTCTGAACATTTTGATATATTATACGTTTTTTTCCGACATCGTATGCAAAAGTTATAGCCGTTTTACATTTTCCCTACATTTTTTGCAAAACATATCCAAATTTAAGTTTTTAAATTTTCCTAACTAGTAGATGTAGTAATATAACTACCTCTCGAAGGATTTTATTTTTTGAAGTTTTTATCATTTTCTTTTGATTTTTTCAAAACAAAAAAGGCGATCCAGGGGGTAGAGTTTGAAAATGGGACCTTTAGTCCCGATTTGAGACACAAACCGGGACTAAAGGGCATCGCACCCTTTAGTCCCGGTTCGTGTCTCAAATCGGGACTAAAGGTCTAATCTTTAGTCCCGGTTTGAGACACAAACCGGGACTAAAGGGCGTCGCATCCTTTAGTCCCGGTTCGTGTCTCAAACCGGGACTAAAGGGCTCAGGTGAACCGGGACTAAAGCCTTAGCCGCACGAACCGGGACCAATGCTCACATTAGTCCCGGTTCGTGACTGAACCGGGACTAATGTGAATATTGCCCCGTGACCAAAGCCCTGTTTTCTACTAGTGAATAAGTTGTCAGGCTTGCCTAGCGAGGAGAGCTTGGTTAAAAACTTTAAGGTCTTTGAATCCCATACCTCCTTGGCTTTTACGTTTGTAAGTTTCTCCCAACTCGACCAGTGAATACATCGACGATCTTTATCATCTCCTCACCAAAAGTCTCTCGTCATGTGCATGAGCTCCTTACAATGAGTTGTTGAGAACTTGAAAACACTCGTTGCAAAAGTGAGGATCGCTTGGACCCCTGATTTAATTATTAGCGTCTCCTTGGCTCCACTGCATAAATATCTTGGCGTGCAGTATATACCTTGTCCGTGACCTGTTCCCTTGTATATATCCGGCCATCACGTCAGGGTCAGCCCAGGGGCTCGGTCTGTCGACCAGATATGATATGGTCGACCGGAGGAAGAGGCGACCTACGTTGTATACATATATATACACTCTATTAGTCTACTTCTGCGGTTGCCAAGTGAGCCATGAGTTCATTTATACACACTCATCTCTATAAACGTACGAAGGCACACCCTATTTTCTGCGATTGAGCTGACATGTTTTAAGATTAACAAAGCCAAAGGTCTCCTATCGACATAAACTTTTTTTTTTTTGCGAAATAATTGATACAAACATTGCCTATGACTAAAAGGATATTCTGCCTTGATGATACAGGCTGATGTCAAACCTGAGGTTTCATCCATGGTTGCTGAGGGTACAATCATCTTGCTATCCATCCAACCACGGCTTCATTCTCAGCCGTCATGATTCATTTGTTTGTACTGGACAGGGATTGTCAACCAAGATGAAGGAGATATTGTTGTCGATAATGGGTACGGTGGAGTTCCATATTCAGCTTTATTTATTTTTCCTGTAATGGGATATGAGATCCTAAATAAGCCTTTTAGAGATTTCAATATTGACTATATGAAGCATAATGAGTGAATCTATATTTTAAAATATGTTTATATACATCCATATATAGTCCATATTGAAATCTCTAAAATGACTTATATTTAGAAACGAAGCGAGTATGTATTTAAGATTTCAAAGAAAATATACAAACAAATTACATATGCAATATTGTAGTGCTGGTTTAGATGTTTCCAGGTTATATTATGGCGTCTATTCCTAGGGGTTGATGTATAGGTATAGCATGTCTCTAAGATTCGTCCAGCCTTTATTAAAGAAGAAAAGATTCTTGATATTGTGCTAATTCTTTGTGAAGCTATTATGGAAACTCCGATAGTTCTTATTTTACTCTAATATATACTTTATCTTTCTTGGAGAAAAAAAATCATATTTAATTGCATTATGGCAATGATAGACATTGTGGTTTATCATCGAGGTTTACTTGATCCTTTGGCCTGCATTACATTATTGTGTAATTGAAGGTAAGAGCATCCCCAATCGGACCCCTCAAACTGTCCTCACATGTCTGGGCGGACAACCCAGACATGAAGAAAAAAAAACACCACCAAACCGGACCTCCCGAAATCATCCTCGTATTTCCGGGATGTCCGTGAACCCTCAAACTTAGCCCATAAGTCGATAGATTATGAGGGTGTATGGGCGTGTGCCCACCCCACTTCACTTTATCTCTTTCTGTCTTCATCTCCATCAATCGTATACATGTGACCGGAAAATTTTAGGGCACGACTACATGCACGGATCACGTGGCCGCAGACATATATGGGGTCAAATTAGCTTAGTTCGGTTTGAGATGCTCTAACTTTTTAAGATTTACTTCTTGCATGTAAATCCAATGTCTGAGATGAAGACTCGGGATTTGACCATTTTTGCGTGGAGCAATGAGATATGCCTCAAGCAAATAAACTTAGAAAGATCATTAGAAGAAGAAAACCAACTAGTCCACTCTATGTTTGTGCAACAACCAAGACAATGATAAACTATAGGATGGTACAAACTAGCTAGTTTTTTTTCTCTCTATGCATGATGAATATTGAGATAACAACATTTGAATGTTTTTATATTCACTAATTTACAAACCAACTCAATGAGGATAACTTCACAAACTACCTTCTTAGTCATGAGGCAAGGAAATAAAAGCATTTCACCCACAACATGATAATGATCAAGTCTTCCTCAAGACGGGAAAGAATGTGTTGGTTGGCAAGGGTATCGAGCAAGATGAACAATGTCTACCGTCACTTAGTGACAGTTTGCTAAACCATGTCTAATGGGGTTTTGAATCATGCATGTCGATGATCGCATCTCCACTAGTGAGCGCCACCGAGCAAGAGGCGCAAGGCTTCCAAAATTACTTTGCATTCTTGAAACTAGTAAAATCTTGAATTACATGCTAGTAAGTCAAGATGGCAATGGGGCCCCGAAACCCGCGTCCCCGTGGGTTTTTTACTCTATTAGGTGACTGGGATGGGCGTGTTTCTAACCACACGGGGCTGTTGTTGGGTAAATTATAAAACCTGACTTGTTTTGCTTGTTCAAACCCATTCCAGCAGTACCCGAACCCAAAACCAACCATATCCGTATGGGCCTTGAAATAGACATGAGCCGGCCAAAACCTAGTACCGTCTTATCCCCCAATTTTCTCTGTCCACCCAGCTGAAAATGCTCCTATTTGTTACTGAAATATGCTATTGTTTTGTGCTGAAATATTCTCATGGTTTGCTGCTGAAATATACTCCATTTTGCTGATGTTATTGCTGAAATGTTGCTGAAATATACTATGCTTAATGCTGAAATGCTATTCTTTGTGGCTGCTATTGGTCTCATGGTTTGCTGCTGAAATATACTCCTATTTTCTTGAGAAAAGCTGATGTTTTGCTGACCACTCGCGGGGACAGGTTCCCCGCGGGTATAGAAAAGCCGACGAGTTTAGGGGATGTGCAAAAAATAGGCCCTGTGCATGGGGAAGGGAACGGGGACGGGCTTGCGGTTTTCTCACGGGGACATGGATGGGCATGCAAAACCTGACGGATTTCGTCCCTGTTGTCATCTTGACTAAGTGATGTAACAAAATATCAGTTTTGGTCGAAGCCTCAAATTAATTTGACGAACAAGCTATGAAACATTTTACAAGCGAACCTATAAAATTTAATTCAAAAATATATCTATTTATGACATAAGATACGCGTATGCAAAACAGCAAAAAGTTCCTTCGGATGCAACTGGTTAGTCAAGTTTGTGATACACACGTCACACGTATCACAAGCTAGGCACTCATGATGACTTCGTCAATTTTCAAGCCAAACATGTTGCAAACCTCCAAGCACAACATGAATGCCTCATGTTGCAAAGCACTCGGCTGAAGTGGCCCATATCGGTCGGCTGCCGCGCACCGGATCCAAAGGCACGCAACGTGGCCGATCGTGCAAAGATCGGCCGGCCGACAGCGCGTTCCAAGAGAATAACAGTAACCATAATCAACGTCAGGATCATACTGTACACTGGTGCCAGTAAACAGTGTAATCCTCGATTAAGAGTTTAAGACATTATTATTGCAGAAGATTCCTTCCTGCAGAGGCATTTTTCAACTGACGCCCGCTCTCGCTGCCTTCATGTGCTTGTCTTCATAGCCACTCGTTTCGTTGCGGTTGGGGCTGCCGAGCTGCTATATATAGGGGCGAGACGACCCATATGGAGCATACAAATTCCAGCCAGAACACACGAAACCCACAACGTAACACACACTACGCCTAGCTGCTCGCAGTTCATAAGCCATGGAGAATACAGCATCACATCCTTCATGCATCGGCCGGCCAGCATCCATGCCGGCCGGCGAGAGCAGCTGGGGGATGCACTTTGCGTCGCCGGCGCACGGCAACCAGGACGACATGGGTTGTCAGGGAGGAGCGATATCTGACAGTAGCTTTTCCTATGACTACTCCTACCCCTTTGCCTCCCTGGGCGACGGCTCCCGCTCGGCCTCCTTCATGACATCCGACCTGGTGGACGAGGAGGAGGAGGAGGAGGCTGACGATGATTCTTTGCAGGACACTGCTTCTTCTTCCGCGGCCGGCAGTAAGGTTAGAAAGAAAGAATTGTCTCTAGCTCTTTTATTCGGGGGAAAGGAGCTTGCATCTCTCCCGATTTTATTTCTGAAATTTATGAAGAGTTAGCAATCGTATCATGCCCCCTGCGACATCTAGGCCATGGGTTTTGGACCGTAGAACACTAGCTGACAATCGCCATAACAAACACAAAATACCACAAGACCAAAGTATCAGACCACGTCAGACAGGAGGGGAGACTACATCTAAAATGAGAGCTGAAATGAAAAATCATGTACTAAAAAATGCAGAAAACATTGACCAGTGATTTTGTTATTTTTGGTGAGAGCTCCTCGAATGTTATTTTTTGATGAAATTTTAAAAATATCTAAAACATTTATCGATGTTTGATGTAACAAACAAATCAGAATTTTTGGATCACGTTTGAAAGGTGTTTTGTCAGTTTTTTGAAAATTCAGGTGTAGTACACTCGAGTGTAGCCACACCTTTCCGTTCAGAAAAACGTAGAACGGACAGATCCAACACAATTTCCCTACAAGAAGCTACTAAGTTTCATTCTCCTTTTCTCGGAATTTT